GGCTCCACCACTACCCCAGGCTCAGCCTCGTCCTCGGGACATGGAGGCAGCACAGCACTCCAGCCAGGAATCCGCAGAGACCGGAAAGAGCTTGGCACGCAGCGAGCAGGTGAGTGGGCATTGGTTGCTCTGCTGCAATAGCCCCAGGAGGCAGTTAGTGCGAGCCCAGCTACGAGCCGAGCTGGGACAGGCCAGGAAGGGGAAAGGGCATGTTTTCAAGGATGGCAGGACGTGAGGGCTGCAGCCTGCTGAGAGGGCAAAGCTAAGGAGGAGACTGGCATTCACAGAAAGAGGGAGCAGAGGAGAGGCTGGGGGCGGGGAGCCGACAGCCGTGGTGTGGGCTGTGCGAGGTACGGTGGAATGGACCACATTGGCATGGCGACTAGACACCTAGAACAGAAGTGTGGATGTGCAAGCACTGGGCACCCTAAAGGCAGACATGTAGGGAGAAGGGTGACACAAGTGGGTGAGCTGGGAGGAAGGGGAGAAAATCAAATACATGGTTCTGGGGTGCCAGCGGGTGCTACCAGCCTAGGGCCACCCGGACCAAGGTTGCCACTGCAGGTGGGCAGAGGCCCACAGGGCACGTGGACACACAGGCCATGCCGCCAGCCGCGCTACCTGGCCAGGGCCGCCTGCAGCTCCTCCTCCTTCTTGGCCAGCTGCATCTTGAGCTCGGCGATCTGCGCCTGCAGGTCAGCAATCTGCTCGTGGTAGTCACTGGCCTCTCCCTCCAGCTTCCGCTTCAGCTTTTCCAGCTCCTGCCGGCTCTTCTCCTCTTTCTTCAGCCGCACTGCAACAGAGCCAGGCCCTCAGGAGGGCATCCTCCAGAGACGCCCGCCTGGCACTTCCCGCAGGAATTCACACCCACGCACATGTCCCCCGTAATCATCACAGTCACGCCACTGTCCGTCCAGTGTGTCTTGACGAGGGTGACTCGGGGAGCCTACCTCTCTTGAAATAATCTGCCATCTTCAAGTTCCCTTTCTGATTTTCCTGCTTTGAAAACATCCACCCGCAACCTCTCTGCAAGGATGGCCAATTTACCTTCCAGTTCTGAGATCATGGACTCGTGCTTGTTCTTCAGCTTGGTAAGATTCTTGGCCTTTCTTCTTCTTCTGCAAGATTCGTCGTTAAGTCACTAATCCTCTCTTCAAGGAGTTTTCGTTCCTTTGGGGGAAGAGAAATACTGTGTTTCTGTTCTCCAGGATCTGTGTTTTACTTTTAGTAATGTTCAGATAAATAGGTAAAAGAAAAACCCACATTTTAACCAAATACAAGCTGGAGTTTTAAATGATAAAGTGAAATTCCCTAACAGTAATTTCCAATAATCAAAAAAACCCCAATAATATCCTCTTCTCATGTCATGTCACTCTGCCCCTCATGCTTCCATGTCCCAGTCAATGAGGTCTCCTCCTGCTTCCTACCACATTCTGGCTCATCCCTGCCCCAGGGACTTTGCACAAACCAGGCCATCTGCCTGGGATGTTTACTCCCTTCTTCCTTTAGCTGCTCATCACACTTTAGATGTTCACCTAAATGTCACCTCCTCCAGGAAGCCTTCCTGGAATACCCTACCTTCACCCCGAGTGCTCTGCTCTTATTATATGGTAAGAACCTCCTTCAGAACTCTGATCATGATGGGAATTAATGGTTGCCTATAAGACTGTCTATTTGCTGTCTCACTTGCGTATAAGCTCTCCAAGGACAAGGTCCTCCTTTTCCAGGCATGCCCTGTACCCACCAGAGGGCCTGCTGATCTTTAGCTCAAAGAACTAAAGGGAGCCCATCTTCAGTGGGGCTGGTTAGTGGTTACTAAGTAGGGTATCCTATTTGTCCAAGGGATATGGGGACTGTTCTAGTTTGGGTGCTACAAGTCCCACACCCCTGAGAGCCCTCAGTCTCAGGCAAGCCAGGACTCCTCTGAGTAACTAGAAATGGCCCATGGGAATATGGGAGAGGACCCCAAATCTGGGCACATGAGCTGCCTTTACCAACTTGGCCCCACTGGTCGTGGTGTTTCTGAGACTTGCTCTGTGGCTGCCTGGGGCTGGGGGGACCACTCGGGACCCAGTCCACAGCATCCCACATCCAGACCACGGTCACGGGTGACCTTGTCACTGCTCGAGGCAACCTTGGCTTGGCTTTCAATACCTTGTTCTTCGCTTTCAAAAGTCAAGCATCTGGTGAGCTTGTCATTTTGACACAGATGCTCAGACCCACTCACTTTTGACAGCTTATTGTTCTGATCGTCCATAACCAGCATCTCATCCTCCAGTTTCTTGATCTTGGCCTCTGCTGTGACCTTCTCAAGTTGTAGCTTCTGCCTTGCAGCCTCCTCCTCCTCCAGCTGTTCTTCCAGGTCCTTTGTGGGAGAGGGAAGAGAATCACCATCTTGTTTAAAACAAAGTCACTTTCACAGAGCTCTGGGGACTAGCTGCAGTGAAGACACCCCATGCTCTGTGGTGTCCTCTTAATGGAAATGAAGCCTCAGTCTCCTCATCTGTAAAAAGGGACAGTTGATATCTTGGTGGGTTTTGAATGTGTTCACAAATTATTTGGTACTCTTCCTCACAAGAGGTGGAGCTTAATTCCTCCCCTGGGGGAGGGTCTGGACTTAGTGACTTGATGTAACAAATAAAAATAAGAGGAAGTGATGGGTGTAACATCAGCGATTGGACTATAAGAGGCCTGTGGCTTCCTCCCCCATTCTCTCCCTTGACTCACTTCCTCTGGAGTAGTCAGCACCACATGGAAATGAGCTGAGTGAGGTTTCCTGCCTGCAGCCAGGTGAGCAGGCCCTGTGGGTCCTCCACCCCCAGTCGAGCCTTTAGACGACCACAATCCCCTCACCCCTGCCTGACATCCTGATGTCAACCTTCTGAGACCTTGAGCCAGACCACCCCCCAACCAAGCCACTCAAAGTTCCTCATGGTGTGACATAAATGGTTATTATTTCCAGCTTCTAAGCTGGGGCTGTTTTGTTCTGCAGCAATAGCTGACTCATACAGGTACCTACAGAGGGGTTGCTCTTAGGAGGAGAAGTGAGAGCTCACAACAGGCAGGGCAGAGCAGGCTCTGGAATCCCAGCTGTAGTGATGGGACCTTGGGCAGAAAGCTGTCCTCTCTAGGTCTTAGTCTATTTATTCAGTGAGGATCATATCATCAAAGGCATCTCCCAGGCCTGAAGGGAGGTGAAGTGCCCTGGTAGCCACCAAGTGCGGTCTCAGTGCTACAGGCCTTACCAACATCTGCTGGGCCATCTTCTTCCTTTCAGCCTGCAGTTGCTGGCCCCGATCTTCTTCCTCCTCCAGGCGGGCCTCCATCTCATGCAGGATCTCCTCCAGCTCCTGCTTCTTGGCTGCCAGCCGGACCCTCATCTCCTCAGCCTCTGCGTACAGCTCTGTCTCCGCCTGCAGCTGCTCCTGCAGCTGGTTCTTCTCCTCAGACAGCTACATGCAGGGGTGGGGAGGTGGCCAGTGAGGCTCACAGGGCCATAGAGCCCACCCTCCCTTGCTGCCCGGTCACGCTCCTGGCCGGGTACCTGCGTGTGCTTCTGTTCTAGCTCCTTGAGCTCCGTTTCTGCCTTCTGCTGCCTCTCCTTGATCTTCTGCAGCTCATCCTCCTTGGCTTGCATCTCCTCCTCCTGCCGTGTCACCTGCAGCAGGGGCTTCACCTGCAAACACATCATCAGCCTGTCACTTGTTTTCATAGCACAAGGGATCCACTCAAGATAAATGAAATCAGTGGTTCTCAGTTGGAGACAATTGGACCCAAAGCCACACCCTCCAAAGGGGACATTTGGTGATTCTGGAGACCGTCTCTGCTGTCACACTGGGGTGAGGGATGCCACCAGCATCTAGTGACCAGGGATGCCATTGAACATTCTAGAATGCACTGGAAAGCCCCCACAACATGGAATTATCCATCCCAGAATACCAATAGCGCAAAGGTTGAGAAACCCTAAACTAGGGCAACTGAAAAAGCTGCAAAGTGTCTCCCCACCCCTTCCTACAGATTGTGCTGGAAATGGATGTTCCTTCCAAGGAGCAAATGTGGGGCATCCTCTACATCCCAGGGTCATTATTAGGAGAGGTGAGTGGTTGCAGGGGCTGTGGAGGGCGGGCGTGGCTATGAAAGGGTCACACGGGTGATGCTGGTGGTAAATGGAATGTTCCAGAGCTGTGTTAAGGTCACAGCTGGAATCCACGGGCTAAGGACGGGGGAGCTTGACCTACAGGCCTCTCGTATGCCTGCCAACAAGCATCTCCAGTCCCATCTCCGGGGCTGCTGGAGTGGGGAGGCGGGACGGGCCTGGGCCACGGACAAGCCCAGGGTGCTCACCTTGGTGAACAGCCGCCACCACTGCCAGTTGCGCAGCTTCAGGTAAGCGGCGCAGTTTCTCTGGATCACCTTCATGGCTGTCAGCTGCTGCTGCCTCTTGGCAAAGGCCCTGGAGAAAGGGAAGGGGGTTACTGCACAAGCCTCCCCATCAGCCTCATCACAGCCTCCTGCCCTGTAGGATCCTGAAAGCCAGACTTCTGCCTGTTCTTTCCAGCTCAACCCCTCAGGAGGCTCCAAGCATCAGCCCCGCATCTCACCTGGGCACAGACCACTGAGGTCACCTGCAACCCATAGCCTTTCCTGGGGGACACCAAAGACCCTGGGCTCACAAAATGCCCTGGGCTTGGGGCTGCGGGTTGAACGATATCTAGGAGCTCAATCTGTAGGACACCGATCCTAGGTGGGCCCTGCACACACCCAGCTGTGCCACATCTGCACCAAAGCAGAGAGTCTGACAAACCCGTTCTTCCCTGGGGGCAGATGAAGAAACTCAAGCTGTCACTAAACGAGCACACCTCCTCCCTAAAGGCTAGTGAGTGTGCTCAGCTGCCATCTTGGGCATGGTGAACAGCATAGCCTCAGCCAGTCTAGAGGTGGGAGGGTGGCATCAGAGAAGTTAGGAAACTTAAGTTAGGCCAGTTGCTGGACCTAGAGCCTCCCACCTGGCAGTGACTCAGTGTGGTGCAATCAGGCCTTGCAGACAAGAGAGCGGTCCTATCTCATGATAAACACATTCACCAGACAGAGAGCTAGTGTTGGCCCTTAAAAATGTGCCTTCCGGGCCTCCCTGGTGGCGCAGCGGTTAAGCGCTGGGTTGTGAAGCTGCCCGCAGCCTTTGCAGCACCGGTTCGATCCCCGGCCGCCGGGAGAGGGTCCCACATGGCGCGCAGACCTCTCCTGCCGCCCACTGCTCCCCTCAGCAGTGTACTTCGTCACTCTGCCTGCTCTGCTCTCTGCTCTGGTGAATTCTCTCACCCTCCCATGCCTCTGACTGTACCCAGTGCTTGTATAAATAAATAATCTTTTAAAAAAAAAAAAGCGCCACTCCCCCTGTCCCCGAATGGTTGAGAATCCATATATAATCTTTGATTCCCCCAACGCTTAACAACAGTCTTCCCTTGGTATCTGGGGGTTGGTTTTAGGACCAACCACCACCATCCCTCCACCCTGCTGCAGATAACAAAATCCATAGATGTCCAAGCCCTTCTAGCCAGCCCTGCAGTCTGTGGGTTCTGCATCCACAGATTCAACCAAGGTTGGTTTTATACATGAATGCAGAACCCAAGAATAGTCAACAGTCTGCATAAAGGTGAGTGCGAACAGGTCAAGGTCAACCGGTGGTGTTCACAGATGAACTGTATCCACACAAGTCCCCACTGTCCTCTTTCGGGATGTGGTTTTCATTGAGAAACCTGACCCCCTGCCCAGCCCGAAGTTTCCCAGGGCATCAGATCCTCCAACACCCTAGCTTTTGAATCCTATTTGAACATGAGGATATAGTCACAGTCAAATACTCTTTCCTCGGATGCTTTCTTTAGTCTAACTTCCGAAATGATAACCAGACCCTGCTCTCATCCCCTTCCGTGCAGCGCTGTGCTGGCTCCTCATGAGCAAGCCTCACAACCAGGTATGGTCATGCTCATCTTCCAGCGGAGAGGCTGGAGGCTCAGAGAAGTACAGTGACTTGCCCAAGGCTCATCAGCAAGTAAGTGGGAGAGCCAGGAGGAGAACCCAGGTCTAAAGCTTTAGGGCCTGCAGTCTTCACCTCTTTCCTGGCCCTAGGTAACCGCAGTTATCTAAAGTAGTAGCATTTCTGCCCCTGCAAGAAAAGCTGCCATCTAGTCAGCATCGCATCTCAGAGTAGCTGGCCTCTTAGCCTCGGGGAGTCAGGACACATGGCCAGAAAGCCCCCCAAGAGTTTGCATTTCTAGTCTGTGCTTGTGGGGAAGCAAGAATGTGGGTCTTTACTTTCTGGCCAGGTAGCCACGACACATGGCCTGGAAAGCCATGATGACATCAGTGATTTTCAAGTCTCGCTCCTCTTCCAGGTGGGCCAGGACCCCGGTTCGGAAGAAGATTTTGCTCTGCCCAATCCTGTACAAGTTGGGGTCAAGCTCGAGGGCTTTGATCTGCAGAAGGAAGGAAGATGAGAGTCCCCGTTTTCCGCTGTGCCACTTGGCTGGGGAGGGTCGAGGGGTGGTGTGTTTCAGTTGGGCCCCAGCTGCAGCAGCTCCTGGCAGAAGGCCCAGAGGCTGGGGGGGCTGCAGCTTGATGTCTCGGGAGGGGCTGGCTCACCATGAGAATGCAGGCTTGCTTCCCATCCATGAAGCCTTTGGGGATGGCATTCGCGGCCAGGATCTCATAGCTGGAGACACAGGCAAGGAAGGAGTAATCCACTGAGCGCCTCTCCAGCTTCTGTCCTCCACCCAGCCTTGCTCACCCACTGCCCCACCTGTAACTGCCCCCACCAGGCTCACCGTTGGCGGAACTCCTGGAAGACGATCCTGTTGGGGAAGCCCTGACGGCAGATGCGGATGCCTTCTAACACCCCGTTGCACCGCAGCTGCTCCAGCACCAGGAAGGCATCGAGCTTGCCGGACTGCAAAGGTAGAATGGGCAGCAGACCATGGGGACCGGGACATGGAAGCAGTGGGTCCTGACTCTCAGGCCTGGGTGACCCACCTCGCCAGGCCACTGGGGATTTACAGAGGCACCAAGTAAGGTTTCAGGTGCCATCTCTCTTCTACTTGGTGGCACTAGCATCACCTGGCTTGAAACTGGGGCTTCTGCCTTATCACCTCCCTCTCTCTCATTTTCTGTCCATCACCAGCCTCTATTTCTGAGGCTCCCAACCCACGACTTCTCTCCTCTGCCATCACCACTGCCATGCACTCACCATTGCCTTCTGCCCAGGGAGCTACCAGCCTCCCACTGGGTCATCCCACCCCTGTCCTGGCACTCCCCCAATTGGTTTCTAAAATAATAAATCTGATTGTGACCTACCCCTGCCTTTTAAAGCAGTGGATCCTCTAGAAAAACAGACAAGTTCTGGCCCACCCACAAGGAGCACCATGATCTAACCCCTAGCTCACACCATCACATGTCAACATGAAGCAAACAGCCTCTTTTTTTCTTACCTGGATCCAACATTTCCCATTGCCACACTCTGGTCGGTCCTTCTGCCTTGAATGCCCTCCCCACCCTACCTTCTGCTTCACCAAACTGATGTCTACTTATTCCTTTTTCTTTGTCTTGTTTTGATGCCTACTTAATGTTTCTAACAAGACTTCTCTGAGTCCTCAGGCTGGAGTGGAAGGTCGAGCTCTTCAGCGTTCCCATAATTTACCATATTACAACCTGGTTACTAGCTTGAGTGTCTACAGGAGCCTTTCCACTGGCCCTCTCACAAGTCCAGCGCTGCTGACATCTCAGGCTGGGTGATTCCCTGCTGTCCTGGCCACTGTGGGGTGGTTAGCACCTCCCTGCTCTCCATGCACTGGGTGCCAGCAGCAGACCCTCCAAAAACATCTCAAGATGTAGCCAAAGCTCCCTTGGAGGTCACAATGGCTGAGCACCTCTGCACTAGTTTGTGAGAAACCTGCAGGCAAGGACTACAATTTATTCAGATTTGTAGCCCCAGCATCTGGCCCAGCAGAGCTCCGTAAATACTGACTGGTCTTAGGAACAGAGTAACTTGATACCTTGGGCAGCAACTCCCTCCCTCCCTTGCCTTCTTGTGCCTCCAGGGTGGGGAACGGGCACCACGTTCAGATAACCCTCCTTCCAGGTCAGACTGAGTCCTCGGGGTGGGTGGGGGATCAAGCTTTCCTCCTGCCCCGCTGCCCTGGTCTGCCTTCCCCTCCCCAGCAGCCCCCTTAAGCTCTACCCAGAGGGGACACTGATGACCCAAGCTGCCGGGCAGGCCCTCACCCTCTTCTCGTGGTTGGGGATGATGCAGCGCACGAAGTTGGGCGTGGTGTTGCGCAGCGTGGTCATCAGCTTCCCCAGCTGCTCCTTGTACAGCTGGCCCACCGTGCGGAACATGCCCTTCTTGGTCTTGGAGGCGCTGGGCAGCGAGCTCTCTGTCATCTTGGCCATCTGGTCCAGCCCCACGATGCGGTCCACTAGGGGCACATGCAAAGCAGGCTCAGCCTCTGCCCACACCCCCACAATAGGCAAGAGGGCCAGGGTGGTGTCATGGGTCCCCAGTATCACTTGGGTAGGCACTGTCCCCCCTTCTTTTTCTTGGCCAGGCAATGACGTCCCTCCAGGTAAGGATCAGCGGTGGGGCCACTTTCCAGTGTTATCTATTTGGGACATGCCCAAGCTCCTGAGTGACAAAAAGGACCAACTGTCTCTGGGGGGTCGCAGAGACTGGGCAGTACATTCTGTTCTTGCCACTCCCTTGGCCCAGCACCATTTTGTGCCTCAATTTCTCCTTCTACAAAATGGGTATAATAATAGCTTCTGCCTCCAAGGGCAAGAATAAGCAAATAAGTCTTGTTAAGTGAAGTGCTTACCTCCCTGCCTGTCTTCAGCCCTTCACTGGCCAACAAATATTGTTGAGAAGCTAGCAGAGGTAAGACAGAGGTAAGGCTTCGGACTCTAGATGTAGAGGGTGGGTAAGAGGGGGAGCTCTAATTCACCATGCCTTGCTGCTACTCCCTGTCAATACCTGAGCCCTGACTCAGGAGCATCTCCCTGGGGACCAGATGGAGGTGGAGGGACCCGGAGGTCACCCCTCCAGAAGTGGCTGAATGTGTCACTAAGATATCGCCAGCACCTGCGAGCACTGTCCTCTGGGTAACACCCACAGCCAGCACCCCACCCCAGAGTAGACGTGGGAATCAGCAGCAGCTGGAAGGAGGTGGAAGACTCTGGGTGCTCAGTCCTGTGGCTGGGGGGTGCTTACCGTCCTTCCACAGGTCAGCCACAAACTTATCCGAGGAGGCGTTGAGGAGGGACGTCACGTTGTCGTTCAGCGGGTCCATGTTCTTGGTCAGCCAGGCACTGGCGTTGTAGTCCACCTGCCAAGGGCCACCCCATCAGTCAGACGCTTCTGCTCCACTCACTGACCAAGGGCAGGGCCCGAGTCCTCCCGTTTCCCTCCAGATCTTCTGAGGTCGCAGAGGAAATGACGTAGTGGTCGCCATGATGGGGACCCACAGACACCACCAGAGAGGAAGGATCGGGTTGTGAAGGGCGCTGCACACAGTATGGCATCAGCAGCCATTGCTGGGGAGCCCTGACTCTGTTCCCTGCCTGGTCACCACAGTCAGGATAAGTTAGAGAGGCTGATGCAGGCAAGGCTTTGCCCTACACAGATGCTTCTGCACATCACAGACAGGACAAGCTGGGGGTACAGCAGGTGGGTTCTGCCATTCCCGAGTTGCTCCTACTCTGAGCATCCCGCCCACGTCCCCCAAGACAGAGGGGGCCCTGGGGATGGCGGCTGGTACCTTCCCGGCATAGTGGATAATAGAGAACTCGGTTTTGTCCTTGAGCTGCTTGGGCTTCTGAAATTTGGGGTGGTTGCCTTGCTCCGAGCACAGCTTCTCCACGAAAGACTTGTCCGTGGCTTTGGGGAACCAGCACTCCTCGTCCAGCAGGGCCAGCACACCTGGGGGGTTGTTCTGTGGGAGACAAGTGGGGCCTGGTCACAGCCGGGGGCACCCGAGTCTGAAGCTGGCCGGGAGAAGCTGGCCACACAAACACATGCAGAGGCAGCCCTCGCCCTAGTACTGTGCCTGCCTACATAGAAAGATGGGTTCATGCCCTCCGCTCTCCCTGCAGAACTAGCCTTCAGTTACCCGAAGTCCAGGGGCCCGGCCTTGGGAATGCAGGGCGGCCATCCACAGACCGTATCTTGGCTGCTGCCCCCTAGTGGGCAACACACAACATCACAAAGATGTCACGTTAGGAAAGGAATTCCTCGTTTTACATTTAAATTCAACTCAGGGTTCCTCTTAGGAAAGTGCTTCCCTGTGGCTGAGACAGTGTAAACCAAGCTGTCAGGAGCACTGCCAAATGTGCGCTCGCTCTGCGGGAATGGTCTTCCCTTTTTTGGCTTGAATGAGAGAAGTGTTTCTTGATTGCTCCGTCCACAACAGGCCTCCCGAAATCATTCTCCACAGGGGCCTTTTCCAGAATTTTAGTTGCTTTGTCTGTCTAGTTTCATTACCTGCTCCTCCAGGCAGGGACTATGTCCGTCTTGCTCACGGTTGCAACCCTAGCCCCTAAGAGGGCCCAGCACGCAGTAGGTACTCACTCAAAAGTGATTGCTTGTGCACCTACTATGTGTGTGGTTCTAGGAGTTTGGGATCCGTCAGTGAGCATAACAAGGATTCCCACCTTTGGGAATGAGTGGCTGAGAGAGAAGGAAAGGGAAGGAATGAAGAAGAAAGGAGAAGGAGGAGGGAGGGAACAGAGAAAGGAGGGCGTGCCGGGTCCACGTGGCGGCTGCGGAGGCCACGCACGCACACGAGTGAGACGTGGACTCTCACCGGCCGCTCGATCAGCTCGATGCAGGGCTGCAGGTCCAGCCCGAAGTCAATGAAGTTCCACTCAATGCCCTCGCGCTGGTACTCCTCCTGCTCCAGGATGAACATGGTGTGGTTGAAGAGCTGCTGCAGCTTCTCGTTGGTGTAGTTGATGCACAGCTGCTCGAAGGAGTTCACCTGCGCACAGGAAGGGCGGCCAGTAAGAGCGCGGTCGGGGCCCAGAGAAGGAGCTCTTTGGCCTGATGCCTTTTTTTCCAGCCTGTTCTTCCATCTCAGCACCCACAGAGGACAGAGGCTCCAACAAGGCCCCCCCCCCAGAGTCCACAGGGTCAGCCATTCTCATGCCGCATGACCAAAAATACATTTTTAAAGGTTACTAATCTCCTTCACCTGCACAATGGTTTAGAGAGAGAATTGTCACGTAAGGTAATTGAGCATCTCCATTTGACAGATGTGGAAACTGAGGCTCAGAATGGGAGTAATTCCACAGGAGATGTTTTGGAACGCCTGCCCATCGCAACACCTGCCCTGCCACTGAGAACTGCCCTCTGACTCTTGGGGCAGGAGCCAGGGGCCATGTCTATGCTTCATGAAGTACTGAAGGCCCTGAGAGCAGGGCTGGGTTTGAGGCGAGCACACAGCCCAGCTCAGGTGAGTGAAGGCCCATGGGATGCAACTCCAGGAGTTTGGTTGGAACTGATGAAAACAGCTAGACCTAGTTGGAACTTCCAGGGTTGCTGAGAAGCAATCTAGGGCTGCGGCCATCTTGCCACCATGAGGGGGTGAGCCCACTTGAGAGAGAAGCCATTGTGGAGGAAGGTTGAGGACAGAGAGGGCAGATCAGATCCCGCCTGTTGGATCCACCTGTACCCCTGGTGTCTCAGTTCCACAAGCCAAGACATTCGCTATTGGATTTCTGTCTCTTACACCCTTTAGGATCTAACCTTAACTAGATGGCCCCTACCCCTAGTAGCCATCTGCTTGCCTTTCTCCCAAATAAAGATTTCTCCGAAGGGAGGCTTGACTCCAGAGAACCAAAACCAGGGCTGTTGTGATCTGCCAGGCTGTACCTCAAAGATCTCAAATCCAGCAATGTCCAGGATCCCCAGGAATGAAGCTCCTTGCCGGTGGGTCTTATCCAGGGCTTTGTTCACACGGCCAAGAATCCATCGGAAAAGGCGCTCGTAAGTGGCCTTGGCCAGAGCCTCTATGGCGAAGTCGGCCTGCAGTGGGCGCAAGGGGGCGCGGTTATTTCCAAGGGCTATGTTTTCGCAGGAGACTGGCCGTTGGTTCAGATTTTTATTTTCTCCCTTACCTACAGTCAGTCTTTTAAAAAAAACCAAAAAGGGAAGTTGTATCATATCTACAACCAGTAGAAAAGTAGCAGTAGGGATAAGTGGTCAGACCTAAGGGAATGCCCATTTGTGATAAATGAACACTTTCTGGAGGGTCTTGGAACAGAATGGAGCCCGTTCCATCCCAGGGATCATCTGGAGGTGGTCAGTCCTGCTTCTAGAAAGCACATACTATCACTTGCAAAGAAAAATCTCTTTGTTCCCCTTTATCTACAACTGAGAGAGCAGGCTAAGGTGATGGATGAGGGGCTTTGGTGTTCTCATCCAGTGTTTCATCTTCAAAACCTCACCTGGGACTTGGAATATTCTAGTATTGGGTAGATGATGGATAAAGATATGGCTGGCTGGCTGGCTGGCTGGCTGGCTGGAGGAATGGATGGATGGATAAAAGATGGATGAGTAGATGGATAAATAGGTGAATGGATGAATATAAGAATGGGCGGGTGGATGCATAGATGCATGGGTGAATGGATGGATGGAGAGATGAAGGTGCACAGATGAATTGATGGATGGGTGGACAGATGGATGATCTGATGGATGGACAGAAGAATACAGCAAGAAGGATGTATGCTTGAATGGACAGATGGATGAATGGGTGGATAGATGAAGATGAACAGAAGATTCTGCAGGAAAAGGCAGAGTAATGGGAAGCACATCGTTACCTGTTCCTTTGTCTGAGCTTTCTGTACCACATCCCGCCCGACTTTGATACGTGGGGTTAGAATGGCTCTGGTGAAATCCGTCACATTAATTCCCGCAAGGTGGCAGACTTTCTGAGCGGCTGGATGGAGAAAAAGGCATATTAAGTGTATCACGAAAGAGAAGTCTTGGGGAGGAAGCCCCCTGACATGAGAAATTTGTAGTCTGCAGATTGGTTTTGCTTGAGGAGACAGAGCACAATGGCTGTGGACACAGCGGGATAGAGTCCTGAGAACTGGGGCATTAGTGACCTCACCCCTAAAGTTTTGCTAAGAGGTGCTGGCAGGAGTGGGATGGAAGGATGAGCCAACTGGGGCTTTAGGGTCAGAGAGTTTTCTGTTCAAATCCTTGCCCCCTAGCTGATGCCTTCAATGTGCTTTTGGAAAACCTATTCAACTTCCTGGATTCTTGCTTTTCTCAGCTTGTAAGACAAGTTCAGCTACTTAGAACCTATGCGGTTGTCGATGGGGTTAAATAAGGTCAGGAACATAGAGTCTGCCGGGTATTAACCATTCCATAATCATTTGTTTCACTCTGCCAAGAGGTTTTTGCAGCACCATTTGTAGTGGCAAAATAATGGGAAAAAATGTCCACTATTATGGGAGCAAATCAATATAGAATAGTATTTTTGTCAAGTGAAATCCCAAATAGCAGTTAAAGGAATGAGCTCGCAAGTTAAACTTGAATTTCAGATAAAGAAAGAACAACTTTTTAGTATAAGGATGTCCCGTATATTGCATAGGACATACTTACCCTAAAAAGTGTTCGCTGTTGATCTGAAATGCTAATTTACTGGGCACCGTGTAGTTGACCTAGTGTCTCCATCTACCGGGGAACTTGAGATCTGTTTCCCAGCAAGCCACGAGGTGCCATAAGAAATGGAGATTTTTCTGTCCTGCCCCCACTGTATCCCAGCCCAGGCACTCAGTATGTGCTCAAAAAATATTAAACAAGAAGGGGGGGGCGGGATTTAGGAAAGATGCCCCCAAAGGATCCTGTCTGGTCAAAAATAATTCATTCTCCTCCCTCCACCCCACCTGATTCAAGTACTTCCCAGCACAGGATCCACAGCAGTGAAAAGTTTGTAAGAGGAGGGGAGTCTGATAACAACCCAGCTTAGCACTTGCTAATTATTGCCAGACATGCTCATCCAGAAAAATAACCCAATACCTATAGTGACCCTCCCTCCCATCACCCCAAGTCATCACTGCCAGGGGGAAGGGGGTGGGTACCTGTGTTATCTGGCATGGACGCCTGGTCTGTGTTTCTTTCCTTCTTGAAGACAATGTTTCCAAGCTGCAGGACGGACGACACCACCTTCAGTATAGCTGAGGTGAGGAGAAGGGCAGATTGAGTCAAAGCCAAGGTCTCTGGAGGTCTGGAGTGTGGGAGTCATGGGGGTTCCCAGCCAGCCTTTCCCTTAAAGAGACTCAGTCCTGAGCTTTACAGAGAAAGTCATGCTACCCTAATTCTCTGCTAATGGGAGAAAGCCCGACCTGGCAGTGGGGGAAACAGAATATTTTCAGATGGTTGCTAACACTCTTGGACTACCAGGGGATGCTGTGGCAGACCACAGCCTGCGGTCCATACCCGGCCTGCTGCTTGCAGTTGTAAATAAAGTTTTATCAGAAATCACAGTCCTCAGCCCCTCACAGGTTGCCTGCAGCTGCTTGCATCCTACACTTGCATCCTGCAGGTGAATGGGCTCAAGGAGCTGCACAGCTTGCAGTGGCTCAAGTGCTTACTATCCAGCCCTATGCAGAAAACCCTGCCAACCTCTTCATATGAATGATTTACAATGAATGATTTACAACTGCAAACAACACAATGGCTGTATCGCATCAACAAAAATGCTGGGCAAAAGATGCCAGAGTGCAAACAAGAACACGCCATGTAAGCCCATTTTTAGAAAGCTCAAGAACGGGAGAAACTATGTTGTGAGAAGTACAGATAATGGTTATCTTTGATTTGGGGGAACTTTAGTGGGGCTGGGGGGGTGTGTGTGGGAGGGGTTGCTGCTGGTTTTCTCTAGATTAAAATGGGTGATAGTTGCAGAGGTGTGTCTTGTCTGTAAAACACCATCTAACTACACTTACAATTTTTTAAATGTAAATTATGTCAACAGAAGGTATTTTTTGAAAATCCAAACCTGTACTTCTTACCATATTCTGGCTGAGCAAGACCCCTGTATTAGAGTAAAGGAGAAGGAAATTTTTCTCACTTGTCCAGTTGTCTCCGGACAAAGTAATTTGTTTCCAGACCCCTGGATCCTTTCTCACCTTCAGCCCCTTTGGGAAGGGTTGGCACTGCCATACCATGCCCACAGGCACTGGGCACCTTAAAGCTGATTCTACCTGGTGCCATCTGCTCTGTTACTCCCCTAACCTTTTTTTTTTTTTTTTTTAAGATTTATTTATTTATTTATACAAGCACTGGGTTCAGTCAGATGCATGGGAGGATGAGAGAATTCACCAGAGCCAGAGCGGGGAACAGAACAGGCAGACTGACGAAATACACTGCTGAGGGGAGCAGTGGGCGTGGCAGAAGAGGTCTGCGCGCCAAGTGTGACCCTTGCCTGGCAGCTGGGGATCGAACCCGCACTGCAGAGGCTGAGGGCAGCTTCGCAACCCAGCACTCAACTGCTGCACCACCGGGGAGGCCCCCCTAACCTTTCTTTAAAATCACATCTCTTTCCTTCAATTCACTTTCAGAGGAAACTTTATCTTAAGAGAAAAGTCAGTTTCCCTTGCCATAAATAGAGGGCGACAGTAAAAACAAATACAAGGAGAACAGTAATATCACATCCTAGCAATGTGGTCTCAGCTCCACCAGCAACCGTTGTTCTGGACAATTCCCTTCACACCTCTATGCCTCAGTTTCCTCACCTGCCAATTGGGGACAACAACAGTCACTTCACAGGGTTGTTGTGATATTAATACATACAAAGCACTTAGCTTCTTGCTTTGTCAGCTGATACCTTTAAGCAAATCAGAAGCATTTCTGGGGAAGTCAAGGTTATTCTAAAGCAATTTAAATGACTCCCTCGTTTTCTTTCCTAAGGTCAAAGAGTAATAAATTCTTTACCAATACATATTTTTAGTTTGTTGCAGTTTTCTGTTCTTTAAATAAAACTGAACACCGTGTTATGGTTAAATGGAGGAGGATTTTGGAAACGCCTGGCTCATAGCAAGTGCTTAATCATTCATTGTTGTTGTTGTTTTATTCCTGAAGCAAAATGGATGTGTGTTCCAAATACAATGCACCGCTCTTGAAGAGCCCAAATCATTTGGAAAGGGGTCCTGTTAGCCTGCTGTGGGGCCCCAGCCAAAACCCACAAACACTGTCCATTTGTCAACTGATCCATGGAAGGTTCTCTTTCTGGGCCCCAGGTCATCTTGGGAGGCACTGTCCCTCCCTGCCCACTGCATTTAAGCCTTTGTGCTATTCTGGGGCTCTGAGGGGGGGGGGTGTGCGTGTGAAGGGAGGGAAATTTTCCATGATCTTGTTCTGGTTTCTCAAAAGAAATTAACCTTGAACACTGGGGCACATCTAATGTGGAAAAGTATTTCATGGAGCACAGTGTAGAAACCAAGAATATCTCCTTGAGTCTATCCTGTTCTCAGGACTGAACGTGTGTCTTGGTCATGGTTGATGACATAGTCCTCACTGGTCTACGCCAGGACTTCTCCAAGAAGAGCCAGCTAACCCACTGCCTCAGTCAATGCCCCTCACCTCTCCTCTGCCCTCCTATTCTTGAGAAGGCCGGCCAGCTCTATCTCCAGCTCCAAGAATGGAACAGAGGCTATGACACACACTACCCAGAGTTTTCCTCAGCCTTGGCAACAGTGAACAGCAAGCATATCAATGTGGACCGAGCACCAAGAGTCCATTTAGAGACTCCAGCAGGGAATCCACTCTGCTTTTTTTCTGCTGGATGTAAACCCAAAGATGTAAGGGCTAGAGCTGCAGCAGCCATTTTGCTGCCAAGAAACTTCCTAAAGACAATCCTGTTTAGGGTCTCCCTGGTGATGCGGGGGTTAAAGTCTCAGCACCATCAAGCAATTGCCAGCCACTGCAGCATGAGTTTGACCCCCCGGCCAGGGAGCTGACCCACATGGCGCAGCAGACCTCTCCTGTCTCACCTGCTGCTCCCCTCAGCAGTGTATTTCAGTGGATCTGCCTGTTCTGCTCCCCACTCTGCCTATGGTGAATCCTCTCACCCCCTGTTCCTCTGGCCTATACCCCAGTTCTTGTATGCATACATAAGTAAAATACATTTAAAAAAAAAAAAAAAAGACAATCCTGTTGAGAAGCCACATTCCAGAGATGTCTTTGAGCCTGAAACCAGTCTCCCTGAACCTTCAGCTCTATGAGTGAATCATTTTCCTTTTCACATAAGCTAATTTGGGTCACTTTCCACTGCAAGAACCCCAAGTGATGCAGCAACTTTTCAAAACACCAGTAAACCCTTAAAGGAATGTTCCTTTCCTTCTTCTCTCTCTCTCTGTTTCTGAGGAGGTAGGAATTCAAAGAACAGAAATCTGTCCTGACCAGAGATGAGTCCCTAACTGGTTCCAGTGCACCAAGAACACGCATCCAGTCCTCTTTCCTGGCCCTGGACTCACGGTGACACTCACCCAGCTGTTCCTCTTCATTGAAGCCCATGATCCCCATGGCCTCCAGGGTCTCCTGGAACATCTCGTCGTCCTGGGCAGCCGGGATGGGCACGTAGCCATTGGAGAGGAAGGTGTAGTTGCTGAAGCCCTCCAAAAGCAAGTCGTCTAGAAAGAGAGGAAGAGGGTGGTCAGAAAGACACAATTCTGCTTTGAGCAGGAGACAGCAACGTGGTTGAGGGTCTGGCGCCATCACAACTTCTCCCCCTTCCCTAAGACTCAGTTAAAAACCTTCCTTCTGCTTCATTGCATAGAAGCCATCACCAGCCATCACTGGCCTCATCCAGTGGCCCGAGTTGTGCACCGCTCCAGGGTGCCAGGCAGCTGAAACCAGCCTGTGCCTCATTTCCTAAGTCATGACCTCAGATGTGGGTTTGTATTTACCTGGAGGAAAGGACACCTTTAT